GGGTAAAAAGTAAGAGCGCGAGGTATAGATGAAACGATGAGATCAACATGTGTACCGAGTTTCATATTATTACATGCAAGCGTGTTTGAGTTATGGACCGAGTGTTCGGACCCCGTTCCAGGGGGCGCTGACGAGCCCCCCTGCCACGCCCAGGTACCAGCTTCAGCCCGGCTCTGATGGCCGCGGGTTCTGACCCGTGTGCAAAGTTTCAAGAGTTTTCGAGCACGTTAAGGGCCCCAAAAGTGCCCAAAAGGTAGTAAAATAATAATTATTATAATAATAATAGAGAAGAAAAATAATCGCAAGGAAAACAATAGGGCCTTCGCCCTTTCAGGGCTTGGGCCCTAATAATAAATATAGCTGCGAGCAGCGATGGCGGGCCCAAGCCGGAGGCACCGCAACCCCGGTTCCTTTAGTTACCGGTGGCGGTGCCGAAGGCTTTGGCCCTTTCATGATTAAATGTTAAAACGGCTTGCCATACTCTGTCATTTCGACTAGTCACAATTATGTTACAGATATCTTAAATGATAATACAAACTATCCAAAGTGTAACAACTAGACAGAAAGACTTTCGGACAGGCAAACTTAGCTTTTAAATGTTAAAAGGGCTTGCCATACAGGGACGTAGGCTCAGAGAGAGGCTCACCATATTCAGACCAAAATATCTGACTTCCTCTTGGTCCGAGCTAATGACTATGTATTAGAAAGTTGTACGGCTTGAGGAGTACAATGTATACTGATTTTTGTAACTGTAGATAAAACTAACAACCCCACTTTTAAGTATATATATGGTGCCTTTAGTGTTATTCTGCACGACGTGCAAAAACTTAACCCCCGCTTTTTTAAGTATATATATATATATATATATATATATATATATATATATATATATATAAAGAGGGTTATTCTGCACGACGTGCAAAAACTTAACCTCCGCATTAACTGTCGAAGAGAAGTGTGCAGAAGAGCTTGTATCAGTGAGGGCTTTGCAAAATATATACAAACACACACACACACACACATATAAATGAGGTTAGTGTTTTACAATATTAAGGAAAGCAAATGTATTGAAATATAGCACATTAATTTTAAATTCATTCAGCTTCAATTACCAATTTGTAGTTTACCAATTTATCTTACTTTTATTTAAAGCAAACTATACATTTAAAAGATTAGGGTTATATGCATATTTTGTCATTTAAAAAAATACAAAATTGTTATGCAAAAAGATAAGGACTTGCAGAAAAAATCTACAGTCAGCCACACACACACACACATAAACGCAGACACCAGCAACCCCCCCCCCCCTAATTAAATGGGAAACGAATCGATTACCTAACGTAACCTCGGTTCTCTCTAGATGAGGGAACGAGCATTGCGTAAGCTAGCTTACGCTACGGGAAAGATTCATCTTACATCAGTCAAGTTGTCATAGTTTTTGTCAAACAAGTTGTGAATTTGTTGTAACATTAAAACAGGAGATCATGACTTACTCCGTGCTCTAAGTGATGTTCGGAGCTCTAGTGATTAGTTTCATCTGTGGGACGGGTGAAGAAACTTTCGGAAGATGTAACAGAATCATATGAACAATTCCAGGATATGCTTTTTTTCATTGGTTGTTGCGTTAAATTTTACCCAGATACAATAGTGCCCTTTTCTGATTGGCTATTAAGTAGCACTTCTCTTTTTTTGATTGGCTGATGCGTAGCAGGGTCGACTGCTGAACTCCAGGCGAGACGCGCTTGATTCTCACGTGAGAGCGGCGCGGCCAGAGAAATTGCGTATATTAAATATATTATTAATAGTTTTTCCGCATGAGAAATACAATGTGTGACGGGAGTGTGAGACAAAAGACTGAAACGAGTGACTGTCATGCTCAATGCGTGACACACTATAAAAAAAATATTTCACACTGACTCCACATTTAGGGGGGCCACAAGGGGGTCCAAGCTTGTTGTCGCAGGGGCACTGGCCCCCCAGGCCCCCGCCTAGAACCGCCACTGCTCACACACACACACACACACACACACACACTTTCTCTCTCTCTCAAGAAGCAAAAACATGACTGCTAAAGGTTGTATCAGCGATGGCGGGGTAACATCACTTAACATCACGAGTGATATTCCCTTAGGCCACGCCCCCTTGTCTCCCCAAAGTATTATAAGCAATCATGCGCATCCCGTGTGCAGAATGATGCACTTGAAGCAACACCAAGTCACAGCACGCAACGCTTCACATTGAAAAGAACATAGCGAAGGGATGGTATCTATAATCTATGCTTAGTAGGGCTGCACGATTTGGGAAAATGTCATATTGCCATTATTGAGCCAATATTGCAATTGCGATTTGCGACTCCGATATAATAAAATGGTTTCATGAGTCCAACTTGCTTGGTTCTAAAGTAAAATGCACACACAGATTAATGTTTATTTCTCAACTCAAACTAAAAACAACAACAACAACAATAAATGATTGATAACACCTATAATGATCAATAAACCATCAACCAAACCAACATTACAGTGATTCCATCAATTGAAAGCCATCAACTTTTTAAAAAATTATTAGGCTTAAAAAAAATATATAACAGCTTTTAAATTAAGTGAACTTCAAACAATCCCCACATAAACCCATAATAAAAAACATATTTACCTGTGCCCTTCCTGTCTTAACAGGTACAGAAATTGAATAAAGTTATCAAACAGTCTGCGCTGCCTGAATCATAAATTATATATATATAATAATCCTTATTAAAGCTACAAAAGTTCTTTACTCAAGATCAGTGAGTAATTTTCTAATTTCCCTTTGTTCTTTTAACTTTACTGAAAGAACGCTTTATTCGCTGCTGGCCCTTTAAGAGCACCCGTTGCCGAGACGCGGATCTCACACGCGCCTCATAGCACAACCCTTTAATCCATAGACTTTTCTTATGTTATGAAGATACTAGACAAAACCACATTTTGGCATAATTGTGTGTGCTATTGTTCGTTCAAGCTCGAAAGAGAACTGTTTATTCTGGGCTGGCACACGGTCAGTGCATGCGCATTATGCGAGTCTCATCTATTCTAATCTAGGGCACTCACAGGCAGCTTTTCACTTCTTGTCGTGCAAAACGCGAAAAGGCATTTGAACCAATAAGAGGGGGATCTTGTAACACTAGTCAAAGGATGACAAAAAAGAAGAGATGCTGCGCTAATAGCCCTACTTTGTTTATTTCATATAAAATCGCGGCATTTTGCGTTATATAATTGCATAGGTTTGAGATCGCTATTACGACTGCGATATAATTAATCGTGCAGCACTAATGCTTAGTGTATTCTAAAGGGCAATAAACTCCACTCCAGCAAGATAGTCATTTTATGCAAATCATAGACCCCAGGTGAAAAAGACGTTGTATTAAATGTATTAAAAATATATTTGAAATACAAATAGTGTGTTTATAATACATTTGTATTTACAACATGCTTATTTAAAGTGTACTAAAAATGTATTTTATTGCATTTTAGTATATTTCTAAAAAGTATACTAGAAGTACATTGGTAATAAATATATATTTAATTACACTTTTAAGAAATATACTATAGAAAAGCATACTTTTAATCTATTTATAAAAAGTATATTAGTAATATATTGGTAATAAATGTATGCTTTATTATATTTTTAATAAATATGCTAATGATAATTATACTTTAAATGTATTTCTAAAAAGTATATTAGAAGTACATTGGTAATAAATATATGTTTAAATACACTTTTAAGAAATACACTATAGAAAAGCATACTTTTAATGTATTTCTAAAAAAGTATATTATTAGTACATTGGTAATAAATGTATGCTTAATTATATTTTTAATAAATATGCTAATGACAATCATGCTTTAAATATGTTTCTAAAAAGTGTACTAGAAGTACATTGGTATTTAATTACATTTTTAAGAAATATGCTAAATACAAACATATTTTAATTATATTTAAAAATGTTTTACTAGAAACGCAATGATAATAAATATACACTTAATTACACTTTTAGAAATATGCTAAAAACAAACACAGTTTTAGTGAAGTTTTAGTGTATTTACAGAAAGCATACTTGTTGCTAAATTAAAGTATTTTTGTGTTCACTTCAAGTTTAAAAATTCAAGTCAAGTCCCTTTAATTCCCTTCCTAACATGAAGGCAATTAAACATGTATCGAAATTAATTGTATATTTCTACAAAGACTAGAAGTAGCACTTTAATTATAAATATGTGCTCAGTTAAGCTTTTAAGAAATATACCAAAAACTACCACACTTTTTGTAATACTACCAACACTTAACTCAATGCATATGTATTTCACACTTTATATTATGTGTTTTAGGTTTAACTTTTTTAAATTAATTTGTTATAATTATGAAAAGCACTAAAATTTGACTAACAAGTAATGCACTTCTATACTTCTGCATTAATTAATCAAATAGTCTTTTCCACAAAACAAGTGAATACCAGTACGTGCACACATCAACATAAAAGATCAGGTGTACATACTAGAAAAACAAAATAAATTTCTTAAAGCTTGACTCTTACATTTGTTTAGTCAAAATGAATAAAAAAACTTGTTATAAAGCATGTTAGGTTTATATTAACAGAGTTGTTTCTTTTTTGTGGATGTTAGTTAATATTTCCAGTTGCATTCATTTGGACCAATCAGAGCCAATCTTTTCAAAACAAGCTTGCCGGCAATCGTCCAATCACACACTGCCATTTGAACTTACATGTTGGGCGGGGCGCGGACAACGGATACTGACTGTCTGTGGTATTCCATTAGCTTCGGACGGATATCTCAACAGAAATCATGTATTTTCCAAATTTTGCTTTGTTATTTCACTGACTCGGACCTAGTGAATGTGGATAGCACCGATCTAATATTAAGAGAACACACGAGCAGATTACCAGGTCGTCAGCTCCCGCGAACAATTTAGCAGTGAAGAGGACAACGCAGAGCTGCGCCGCCACGACATGGACAGAGCAAGATACTGCCAGAAAAGATCTTACTTCTTGGTGGTAAGTTTATTAGTTTAAGTGATTAGTGTAATTGGCTTTATTCTCACTTTGGATTTAGAAAATATTTTCAGAAGTTGATGACGATGTTCTGTGGATTACTGGCGTTTCTGTTGATTTGACACTAAAGCGAGTTAACGTCTATCCATTGACGTCTATCAACTTAATTGTTATAGATCTAGACAGTGACATAATGCAACTATAAAAACATTGCACACTGTGTTTTCAGAAAAAAGGTTATTAATGGTGATTACACGACAGGCTTGATTGTCCCTAAGTAACTTCTTGTGTTTTAAATATTATAATATATTTTAAGCTCTAATAAAACTTTCACATTTGTGATATTTAATTCATAGTAAAATCTAATTAATTATTAGTTACTAAGTTATCAGCTGTCACCAACTTGTAACTTTCAATAGAATGTTCTGTCTTTATTAATAATGAATAATTACTTCAATAATAGCGTGGAAGTTACAGTAATGGTTCATTAAATATGTTTTACCATTTAAACAAAATACAAATTATATATGAAGAACACAAACTAGTGTTTGTTCTGCCCTAACTTTGTATAACATGCAACTTTATTTTTTTTTGTAGAGCTTCCAGGGATACTATCATCTCTCAAAGAGGCCCTGGAGTCCATGAAACGAGGTTCATTCAGCTCAAGCCCAAGATCATCTGAGCTGTCTTCCTGAAACCTCAGACATGGTAAGAAAATTCTTTATGATAAAGAAAAATCCTATTTGTTATAATAATTATATCTGACTTTTGTGCATTAATACTTCAGTAAGTGTTCTGAATTAAGTAACAAAGTGACAGCTTTTTATTAGAATTATAAATGAACAAGTTTATACTAATGCTTGTTTTTTTTATTCTTTCCAGATTTCCCTCGGTGGTTCTGATGTCCCCAAAAGAGTCTATGGCAGACTGAACAAGTCACGAACTTCTCTTTTTACTCACGACTTGGCCACTTTACTTTTTGCTATTGTATTTCACTTTGTTTGACTTAAAGGATTAGTTCACTTAAAAAAAAAAAAAAACTTTTGCTGATAACTTACCCACCCCCATGCCAAGATATCCATGTCATTCTTTCTTCAGTTGAAAAGAAATTAAGGTTTTTGATGAAAACATTTCAGGATTTTCTCCATATGGACTTCATTGGGAACCAAACGGTTCAAGGTCCAAAAGGCAGTTTCTGTGCAAACTGTTCAAAGGGCTTTAAACGATTCCAGACGATGAATAAGGGTCTTATCAAGCGAAACGATCGGTCATTTAAAAAAAAAAAAAAAAACAACGTTTAAGTTTTATAAGCTCAAATGGTCGCCATGCTCTTTTCTGTTATGCATGTTCATAACTCTCCTATTCAAACTCGTTCATCAAAATTAACAAATCTTTTTCTGAGTCATTAGGTTCATTCAACGAACGAAATGAATGAATTGACTTGAAAAAAGATTTGTCAGGGCTGCCAACTCTCAAGCATTCAGCACGAGACTCTCGCAATTGAGCAATTCTCATGCTTTCACGACAAATTGACTGTTAGCCATTGGACCTTGAACCGTTTTGTTCCCAGTGAAGTCCATTATATGGAGAAAAATCCTGGAATGTTTTCATCAAACCTTAATTCCTTTTCGACTGAAGAAAGAAAGACATGGACATCTTGGAAGACATGGGGGTGAGTAAATTATCAGCAAAAGTTTTTTTTTAAAAGTGAACTACTCCTTTCAGTTAGTTTATTTATTTATTTATTTATTTTTTGTTCTGTTTAATACCTCTGCAAATCAATGCATTTTATGTTAATGTATTTTGTTTAGTTTTCATAATGCTTTACTGATGTAGTGCATTAAAGTTTATCTTTCAAAGAGTGTTTGTGTGTTTTGTAGAAATATTTTTTTACTGGGTTTTGTTGAATTAAAATGTTTAACTGTATTTTTAATACATTAAAATATATTATTTTTATATTAAATGGTTTTTGGAAAAAATATATTTTTAATATGTTAATAGTGGGTCCTATATTGTTCTACAAATACATTATTAATAAGCTGAAATTATATTGAAAATATACTTAGAACGCATTAATGTGAAGCTAAAATATACTAATGCTGTATTTCTAAAATCGATTTAAAGTGTATTAAAATACACTTTAAATAAGTGCTATTATATTACATTAAATGTACTTAAAATGGTTCCATTTTAGCACAATTTAATATAATAAAATATATTACTATTACCTTAAAATTGAACTTAAATACATATTAAAGTACACTTAATATACTTGAAGTTGTTTCAATTTAGCACATTTAATACATATTTAATACGGTGCACTTAAAATACATTAAGTATATCAAAATAAGTACATTTTAAATACATTTCCTTTTCACCTGGGACCTTTATGCCTTATCTACAAATAAAGTATAATATTGGGAACATTGATCTTGAAGAGAGTGTCGTCGTGTTACTGTCGCAACCGAACGCGACGCGCTAATGCTGATGCATGGAGAATGACTGAGGCGAGATGACTTTCCGTTAACTTTAACTTAGAGACTAAAATATTAATTTTACCACACATTAAGCTATTGAATGACTTTAGAAGTCTTGGAATATAGTGTGAAAACTTGATTGTGCTTTACAGTTTTTTATGCCTTTAGTGGGGCTTAACAAAATAACACAATATGCAGAATGTCGGACGTCACTTATAGGCTAAACTGTTTTTATAGATAAAATTTACATTCGGCAGTCATGAAAACAAATCTTAGATAACGGTTGACTAGGTAACAATGTGTAATTTTGCGCCGGAGTTCTCCTTTAACTTACATTAGCTAGCTAACTACGAACGAGCTAACCAGATAACATTAACAAATTGACAAGCACTTACTGGGCAGAATGACGGACGAAATTGGAGGTTGTCATCTGACTGTCCGCGATCTTAACGTTGCATGTCTTGCAAAGCGCTGTTCTTTTGCCATCTTGTTGTAAGAAATTCTTAAATCCGAAAGCGACCCTCGGTATCCCTCCGGCTGACATGTTGATGTGATCTGATGTAAGTGGGCGTGGTGTGCGTAAGGTATGAGAGGGCATGACTGATGATCACTGATCCAGTCATGACAGCGCTATTCTCAGCCTGCGCTCCAGCTGGATCAACTTTATTTTTTTTACATAATTTATATATTTTATATTCAAACTGAAAACATGATGTGATTAACACTCAAGTCATATTATTACATGCAAGTGTGTTTGATTTATGGACCACATTTTCAGATCAAGTTTATGGACCAAGTTAATTTAATTAATAAACTAATTATATAAAACTATTAATGCACTACAATTAAACTGGTTATATGCCTTTACTTATAAAAAATAAAAAACTTATTTAAAAAAATACCAGGCTTAAGGCATTTATTTTTTATGCAGGCCATACACACAGGAGTGAAATGGTTAAGACCCCTCCCCCTACAAACACACACACATACACAGGCTATTTAGGGCCCAAGCCCTGAAAGGGCGAAGGCCCTATTGTTTTCCTTGCGATTATTTTTCTTCTCTATTATTATTATAATAATTATTATTTTACTACCTTTTGGGCACTTTTGGGGCCCTTAACGTGCTCGAAAACTCTTGAAACTTTGCACACGGGTCAGAACCCGCGGCCATCAGAGCCGGGCTGAAGCTGGTACCTGGGCGTGGCAGGGGGGCTCGTCAGCGCCCCCTGGAACGGGGTCCGAACACTCGGTCCATAACTCAAACACGCTTGCATGTAATAATATGAAACTCGGTACACATGTTGATCTCATCGTTTCATCTATACCTCGCGCTCTTACTTTTTACCCCAGCCCAACAGGAAGTCGGCTATTGAGGTTTGTTTGTAAAACGCTCGCAATGGTATTTGAAATACTCCTCCTAGAGCTTTGATCCACATTCGACGAAACTCGGTCAGCGTGAAGTCAAGACATTGAGGATGAAAGTTTGCGAGGGGATTTTTGATATCTCGAACGGTTTGTCCGTGGCGAGGAAACGAAATCATGGCGAGAAACGTGAAACAGGAAGTGTGTTATAACTTCAGCATACATTAACTGATCTTGATGAAACTTCAGCAGTGTGCTCGCTGTAAGAGGACGATCACATGGATGTGACTATTGTGAGTAAAAGTTATAGCGCCACCAACTGGCAGCAGGAAGTGTGTCACTTTCAAAATGCTTTGAAATCACCCTTTTATTTTTACCCGATTTGCTTCAAACTTCATCTGTATAATGTAAACATACGGCAGATGTAGACCTGTGAATGGATTCTTGATATCTTTGAAACTGTTGCCGTGGCGACGCATCAAACTTTGCCCTTCTTTTAGGATGCTTTTAGGATGCTTTTGAGACCCTTAGCATGCTTCAAATTGCATGAAACTCGACAGACACATCACATTTATTAGCCAGTAGACATGTGCAAAGTTGCAGAAACGGGCGTGGTGAGGGCTCAGTAGCGCCACCTTTTGACAAAAGTGGGGTGGTTAGTTTTAACTAGAGTTACAAAAATTGGTATGTATATTGTACTCCTCGAGCCGGACAACTTTCTAATTGACACTTATTAGCTAGGACCCACAGAAACTCAGATATTTTTGTTTGAATATGGCCACTCTGAGCCTTTGGCTGGCTGGCTGGCTGTCTGTGTGTGTGTGTGTGTGCAGGGGGAGGGGGCTTAACCATTTCACTGCTGTGTGTATGACCTGCATAAAGAAAATACATTTCTCAAGCCTGGTATTTTTTAAATAAGTTTTTATTTTTATTTTTTATAAGTAAAGACATATAACTAGTTTAATTGTAGTGTATTGACAATAGTTTTATATAATTAGTTTATTAATCAGATTAACTTGGTCAATAAACTTGGTCTGAAAATTTGGTCCATAAATCAAACACACTTGCATGTAATAATATGAAACTTGGTACACATATAGATCTCATCGTTTCATATATACTTCACACTCTTACTTTTTACCCCAGCCCAACAGGAAGACGGCTATTTAGGGTTGTGTTTAAAACACATGCAATGGAATTTAAAGTATTGCTCCTAGAGCACTGAACCAAATTCGACAAAACTCGATCAGCGTGAAGTCAAGACATTAAGGATGAAAAGGTGCCAAGGGATTTTTTATATCTCGAACGGTTTGGCCGTGGCGAGGAAACGAAATTATGGCGAGAAACATGAAACAGGATGTGTGTTATAACTTCAGCATACATTAACTGATCTTGATGAAACTTCAGCAGTGTTTTCGCTGTAAGAGACCGATCACATGGATGTGACTATTGTGAGTCAAAATTATAGCGCCACCAACTGGCACCAGGAAGTGTGTCACTTTAAAAATGCTTCGAAACCACTCTCTTATTTTTAACCGATTTGCTTCAAACTTCATCTGTATAATGTAAATACACGGCAGATGTAGACCTGTGAATGAATTTTTGATATCTTTGATACTGTTGCCGTGGCAACGAATCAAACTTTAACATTCTTTTTTGATGCTTTTGGGACTCTTAGCATGCTTGAAATTGCTTGAAACTCAACAGATAAATCACATTTATTAGCCAGTAGACATGTGCAACTATGGCAAAAGATTAAAGTAATGTCAAAAAAGTAAACACTAAAAGCCTCATATCTTCTAAAAATGTAATTACACATCATTTGTTTCTAAATTAAATTATACAAATATTATAACTTCCCCAATTTTTCCTTTTTTTCATTTAAGAATTATGTTTACGTTCAAAAACAGCCAGAATTGTTGTAAAATTCATAAAAAAAATAATAATCTGAGTCATACGTAGTGCTATACTGCCCTCTTGTGTTCAATATCAGGTAGGCCTATTGTGTATATTCCCAACGGTTAATCAACGTGTGACTCCGCTGGGACTTTTAGAGTTTTTAAATCGCTTACTTAAAACCGAAAGTCAAAATACGGATGTCCGCACAAGGTAATGGTGTGGAGTAGAGCGAGCGTTTTAAATAAATTCCTATTAAGTAGGATTGAACTAAACAGAAAGAATGTTCACTCTGTTCTGCTGGTTCCTCGCTGGTGGATCATATGATT